CATTTCTCATGCCAGGAGCGATGCCAATTTGCAACAGCTGCAACACTTTTTCAAGTGTCTGTCTGTCTCTCTCTCTGTCTGTCTGAGCTAAGCTGTTTCATAACAATTTTATCTAGTTTCCTTTAAGCAAAATGTTGTGAATGAATGAACTTGACTTCCCTATGAGAAACAGTTATGCAGTGTACATATTTGGGCTCTTATTGTGAGAGGTTAGAACCAAGCCTGCACAAACAGCGCCAGGCTTTGAAGACAATTTTACATGGTGGCCAAAAGTGGAATTACACCGTCCATGGCCGTCATGTGATGCCACTGGGCCCATAAAGCCTTTTTCCACATAGACTTATATTGTGAAAGAGACGTTTGTAAATCTCTGGATACATTTTTTTGAGCGTGACAAGCCCCTCAAAAAGACTCATTTGACTATCAAGATTTGATCTATTCAATCCAATAGCATTTCGAAAGTACTAAGAAGTAAGCGGTTCAGCTGGGGGAAGTTGACCACTCAGCGGCCGCTCTGTGTTTCTAGTGCTCCTGCTCTATGGGCCCCACAGTTTGGGAGATATAGGGTATTTTCATACCCCAGAAATCAGCCTTTTTGGCCTCATGCACCTCTGAGCAACTTTCATAAGAATGGACGGGTATCTGCCTCCAACGCATTATCCAGGTCTCTTTATACATCCACGGTAAGAATGGACAGAGTGGATCTGGTATGTGCTACTCTTGTCAAGGTTGAAAGGATTAATGAAGTTTGCTGTCTTAGCTCAGACTATGGAGGTTAGGGGTTTAGAGGCTCTCTTTATACATCCATGCACCTTCTTGCTGTTGTTTTATACTCCTCACAAGTAAAGTACTGCTTTGATAAAGTTTAATGAAGTAGTGTTAAATAAAATTCTAATGAAATACTGTAATACTGGAGTTAAATAAAGTACAGTTATAATGAAATTAAGATAAAAGAGTATAATGCCAGATGGCTCGTTTTAACTTATTTCGATGGGAACGAACTCTGTTGGTGCAACTCAAAGTCAAGGATACTTCCTTGGTTGGACGGGTCCTTCCAGCGCGCACCTTACAGAGGCTAGACAAGACTCCTTCCTGGCATTCGGTGAGTGTCCAGGTGTGACAAGGCCCCGCCTTCAATTCTGGCAAACTGTGTGCAAAGAATTGTGGACACGTAATGCCTGCTGAGGATACAGAAATGCATCCTTGAAAATTCTCTCAAGGAAGGACTCAGTCTTTGGTAGAAATCAAAGGATTGTTAACATTGGAACAGTCCTTTGTGGGGGTTGGATGACATAGCCTCCTTGAAATTCAGCCATTTCAGGATCCTTTCTTGACTCTAAGAAGCATTATGTGCTTCCTTGGTACGACAGGTCCTTCCAACACGGGTCCTACAGAGTCTGGGCAAGACTCCTTCCTATCATTTGGTGAACACAAATTGGAAGAGTCTAGTAAGTGCCCATGTGTGCGTCATTAAAGAGGCCCTGGCTTCAACTCTGGCAAATCATGCACAATGAATTGAGGGTACTCCAAGCCCGCTGAGGAAACATACGTGCATTCTTGAAAAATCCCCTAAAAGACAGATCCTGTTCTCTGTCGGACTCAAAGGATCGTTGACATTGGAACAGTCCTTTGTGGGGATTGGATGATGTAGCCTCCTTGAAATCCAGTCATTTAAGAATACTTCCTTGACTTTGAGAAGGACGGGTGGTAGGGCGGGTCCTTCCAACTTGGGTCCGACAAAGGCTAGGCAAGAGTCCTTCCTAGCATTTGCCGAACACACACGCCACCTTCAATTCTGGCAAATCATGCAAAAAGAATTGTCGGTACTTCATGCCTGCTGAGGAAACACACATGCATCCTTGAAAATTCTCCGAAGTAAGGCCTCTGTTCTCAGGTGAATTCAAAGGGATACTTGTCATTGGAATGGTGCTTTGGCTGGAGTCGATGGTGCAGAGGGCTTCTCAAAGTCAAGGATGCTTCCCTGGTAGGTCAGGTCCTTCCAACTGGGGTCCTAAGGGGGGCTGGGCAAGACTCCTTCCAAGCATTCGGTGAACACACATTGTAACAGGGTAGCGAGTGCCCAGGTGTTCGCTGTTGAAGAGGCTCTGCTTTCAATTCCCGCAAATTGTGTGCAAAGAATTGTTGGTACATCATGCCTGCTGAGGAAACACACATGCATCTTTGAAAATCCTGTAAATGATGGACTCGGATCTTGTTAGGATCCTTGTTATGAAAGGATCCTTGACATTGGAATAGTCTAGCGAGTGCCCAGGTGTTAGCTGTTGAGGAAACACACATGCAACTTTTAAATTCTGTTAGTAAGGACTTAGACCTTGCTAGAACCAAAAGGATTGTTGACGGTGGAACAGTCCTTCTGTGGGATTTGAAAAGATAGCCTCCTTGAAATTAATTTAATGATCTTGTGTGTCTTTCACAATCAGTTCTCTAGTAGTTTTAAGTATATTTGATCATTTTCAAAACGCACTTTGGGATTTTGGGAAAAAAAAAGAAGTACACAAATGCAACTGTGGTGTAACTTTGGTGTTCCTGATGTTGCAGAAAGTTGCAGGACTTTAAGGTGGCCTGGATCCGTCCTGCTGCAGAGCGTCCAGACAGAAGACAGATTACACTTGTCAGGACCACCAGCAGAGTGTGAATAGCAGACGTCAGGCTTCATCTCCCCAACACACACACACACACACACACACACACACACACACACTCTTGCCTTTATAATTTAGGTCATACTGGGTCTTACTTCCTATCAAACTGAGAGTTTTTGAATGCCTTAATATCCATCAGTCAGTCTGAGGGAATTTCAATTCCCACGGTTGTCATAAAACTCTGCCTTGCAAACACTCACACAGGCTAACACCCTCTTACTCTCTCACACACACTCTCTCTATCTCTGTCTACACACACACATTTTAATAGTCACACACAGAAAACCTCTCCGGTAGCGCTGTTGAAAACTTTGTAATGTGCTCTTGGTCTATATTTGTCACCACGGCAGCGCAGCCGATTATTTTCCTCGTCAGCGTTTGAAGCCTCGCTGTAATGAGCCTGCCAGTCACACATTCTGGGATTAAAACACAGTGAAGTCGCACTACAGATGATGACAGCTGCCTGAGAGGGAAGACAGAGAAAAAGCAAAAGACTTTTCTTTACAACAGCTACAATATACAACTTTACGCCTGCAGGCAGTGAGGTGTTGAGTCCTTCCTCCCACTCAGCTGGGAGAGCTAGAAGTCAACTGGAGAAGTGGAAGTGAGGGCATCCTGTGCACAAAACACTGGATAGAAAGTAAAATGTGATGTCTTGCACTTCTGAACTTCTGCACAGTTTAGATCTGATACTCTGGTTGAGTATTTGCATTTGCTGCTGAGACATGAATCAACAGACCTGAATCAACATTCATCAAAGCTGAACTCGGTCAGCCTCGGCTGTGCTTTGACCTGAATGCATTAGAAAATTCTAGTGAAAATTGTACAAAGTTACATAACAGAAAAAAGATAAAAACAAACATCAGATGACACGGAGCAATATTCACATTTCGTCAAGTCGTAGAATGTACGGGCTCATTTATGCTCAACCTTAGATACGTACTCTATGTTTATTCATCCATATTTGTGCATGTTTTCTGAAAGCTTACGGATACAGACGAATCAGAGCAGGACCACTGGAGATCGTGGCAGCAGTGCGGTGTATTTCAAGCAAGATACGACCATAGGAGATGATGAAATTTAAATAAGGGCGGAACAGAATGAATTGGTAAAAGTAAAAAGAATTCATCATCCACATGTAGGGATGGAAATAATGGCCGCACACACCAACGGCGTTAAACGCTGCCTCTATTTGAAGGTACAATATTACGACCTCCTCCAGCGTCACCTTGTTTGTTGTTATGTGTAAGTTTTGACTCTACCCTCTAGTGCCATTATTGGCTGTATTTATGCCCACCAGAGGACATATGGAAGTATGAGGGCAGTGATGTTTACGACATTTGAAACGGACATTTCCTTTCGTAAAAGAAGTATAAATGAGCCTCAAGTCTGTGCCGGCAACAGCTGTAGGCAGAGGTAGATGTTTACAGGATTTCCATCCATCCTATTCTCGTGAACATGTTATCTCAAGAACGCTATGAGGGAAAATCCTCAAATTTGGCACAAACATCCACCTGGACTCAACGATTTTGGTGGTCAAAGATCACCGTGACCTCACAAAACACTATGCAAAACTCTTTTGGCAATAACCAGCCCTTCCTCACTCCCAGGTCGTCAAACTCCAATGCTTTATTACGCTCCTTGGTGTATGATATCAACACCAAAGGCACCCTTATGTGTCTTTATGAGACGCAACAGGCAACTACTTCCAAGGTAAGGTCATGCTTGGCAATACTTGAGGCTGAGAGCAACTGCCGTGATATTAGCTGTGAGAAAAGGTCAAAACAAAACAAGACTGGTGTCCTGTTTGAATCCAAATGTCAGTGTTGTTTAATCATAATGTTATGGTGGTCGCCACCCACTGACATCACTCATATCACATATTTACGCCACCTTACGCTGTGTAACAAACATACTTTTTTGAAGTTGGGTTAAAGTAAAATCTGAGTTAGACTCTTGCATTGGGACCACGATGGAGCAACCCAGAGCATAAGCCCCCTAACCCTTTCACCACAACAAATGACACCACAGTTTGTTTGGAGATAGAAGCTTTGCATCATAACCAGAAAACCAGACGATCAGACAAAGCAGTGGAATTCCTTTGCTGCGTAAGGGTTTACTTCCTCATAGTCTCGCTAATTGCTGGTGATATTTGCCTGCTTTCATTATTTATTGGCGAGTCTAAGTGTCGTGCGCTGACAGCTGTCTCAGTGAAAGCTGTTTACATGATGTATATTGTTGTGAATATCGTTTCCCCTGAGCTGCCTTAACAAAAGACGAAATTTTTTTATGGAGAAAATGGAGAACATTTCCAGTGAGTTGGGTTGCAACACTTACTTCCAGGCTGATAAGAGGAATGTTATTTCACAAACAAGTGTCATTCATCCAGGAGCTGTTTTGTTGAGTGCGTGCACTCTTCCTCGGTTGTGCGGGATGCTTTTCTGTCTGTGAGGAGAAGCAGAGGAGGATGTGTGAGAGCTGTGAACAGTATCAAACATAATGCTTGTCAGCAGTAGAGTTGCCATTATAATGATGTGTGTGAAGCAGATGGTCTACAGGCCGCTTCCATTTCCATAAAGCTGAACATACATCAGCAGAGAGCTCTATGTTTTCTAGAAATAATCACACAGTTCGTCCTCGCTACTGCACAGTACCGCCACACAACATTTAAATATTGACAGACCAACTGGAGTTTGCAGAATGCACAGTATATCAGGTGACGCATTGCCCGCCATCAGTTATCATGTTCTTTTCTGTAGTGGCAAATTGCACACTGAGCAGCTTCCTCCAAGGATGGAGTCACCACTTCAAGACCCTCATGAGTCAAGCCTCAACAGACCCTCCCGAGTGCTGCTTCAAGTGCCTCGTGTTACGCAGCCAGCTCCCTGTGACAGCTTGCAAAGAGCTGCCCAAGATTAGGCGGCAGCAGTGGTGGGATCACTTCAGACACTTTGACGTGATGTTCGGCTGCCATGAGAGTGAGCCGGAGCCTGAGATCGCCTACACCCCGCTGCTGCCTCCGGTCGTCCCTGCTGAGCAGATGATGACAACAACATCTCTTCTCAGCGCCTCACAGGAGTCCACTGCCAACATCTTTGTGTAAGGACTACTCGCTGGCATTGAGCATTGCAGCAGGACGTATTGAGCTCCTGCAGCCATCCAATCAAGCTTTGTATTAGGTGTCTGCAAACCCACAGTGCTGGAAACTCCATGAGAGGAACTGCCCACTGGGGAGCTCCTCCAAGAACTCCATACATTCAAGGGCTTTTTACTGTTTGCACTGGCGCTGCCAATAGAAGCGGCGAAGCACCATATTGTAAGCTGGTTCGCCGTCGGTACAGCACCATCGCTTTCACTTGGACGAGTGAAAAACACGTTCTATTTCCCCTGTTGCACATATGCTCGTAGAGCTTCAATCCAGTAGTTGGTGCTTACCTCTATTTTTGTCGTTATGAGCTGTTGTTGCGTTTCGTGTTTTTTGTTGTTTACAAGGCTGACTGATTTTTAAAAATGGTGGTTGCATGTGCTGCCCTGGCTGCATACGAACAGTCACTGTTCACTTATGTGAGCTGGGTTTAACTGTTTGGTGGTGTGTATGTGGATTTGATTATACGGTTGAAAGATTATTGCCAGATACGTTTGATATATCAGGGTGAGAGCAACACTGACAAGTGACCAAGGAGACTGACCACAGAAAATGGTGAATAAAGTTTTACTGTTAAAACTTTGTTACATATAAAACACCAAGTTGGCCCGCAGACAGTCTAAAACAATGGGCTAAAAACAGTGTGAAAAATATAATAAAAGACAAGGGAGATTAAAAGTCTGATTAAAAATCAAGGGGCTAAGATTAATAAAAATGCTGGGCTTTTTTTCCGGAGGCAGGACCTTCACCCGCAGGTTCAGCCGTCGTTGGAGGTTACCCACAGGCTCTGGCCGGCACCGAAAACATAGAGAACGCTGCCAGTATCCAAGCAAATAAACACAGTACTATCCTGCATTCAGCTTCGCTTCACCCAGAGTGTTACTTTGCAACTGGGATACTCACACCGCAGGCAGAGTTTGTGTAGTCCGCGTCGTAACACTAGGGTCTCCTGTACTCGGCTGGCGTTCAATCGTCCTCTCTGCTCACCATCCTGGTCCAGTCCTGTGTGTGGTGCCCTTCTCCCTTTGTCCATCTGCCCGTGATTGTTCCTCGTGCTCAGATGCCAATCTCTCCATAAAAGCAATCCTCCTTCCACTAGCCGCCCTCTCCTTGGTCGCCCACTGGTCGTCCACCGCCTGCTGCAGCTGATTTGATGCTAAAACTATCAATTAAAAACTGCACAGGTGCGCTTAATCTGGGTAAAATGTCTGTCACTTAGGCCGGAAGTCAAAGTAAAAGTCCTTCACAATAAAAGTATGCAATAAAAACCTATAAAAACACAGCAAACAAGGCAGAATAAAAGCATAACTTAAATAAAACTCAAGTAAAAAAGATAAAACATGCAATATAAAAACCCTAAAACAGACTTCCGTCTTGTGACACTTCCACCACTCATGGTTCCTCTAGGAGCTAAAAAAGTCCCTCAAAACATTCTATGAACTAATACCGTTCCTAGTCATTACGGTGCAGACACAAGAAAAAGGTAACCCTTTTACACCAACACGGAACCAGTGCCATTCAAGTGTGCGCACCTAATTTTGAACCATTTATAGCATTTCAACAAAAAATAAATTGGTTTGGAACCCAAAAAAAGTTAGCTCTCCTGTGGAATCAAAAAATAGCCATTTTTCTTTGACCTGAAGAGTGAAGTGTGATGACAGGTTGGAAAGAGAGGTTGGTGAACATGAGTGAGAAATCATCAGAAAAACCAGGGCATGCAGTCGCCTCATTAATAGTTCGTCCATGTTTGTTTTTGGGGGGAAAAACAAATATTGTAATTACAGAACAACAGTTCACAAGTAATCAATGTAACACCCTCTGAAGATGACGCATCCTTAATAACAAGGCTCCCCTCAAAACAGGTGGAAACACAGCTGGTTCATGAGGTAGCACCAAGGTTCCAAGAGTCCTGAACGGACCTTGTTCAAGAACAGAGCTAATTTGGCAGTTTCTTAAAATTCTAAAAAGGTTCCTCTGATCTGGAAATGCCAACTGGCTCTGCACCGCATGTACTAGAAACAATTATAGTTCTTAGAGGGCCATTTTTAGGGACTTACTTTTCCAACACAAGAGGAACCACAAGTGATAAACGGGTACAGTGATTGGTCGAACGCATGAGCCAGTGCAGCACTGGCTACTGACATTATTAAAAACCCAAACAAAAGGACTTTACTGTGCATATCTGCATAGCTTGACAAACTGAAAGATAGCTTAGCATCCCTACTGGCAGTGTGAATGCAAACAGAAAAAAAAAAAAAACTCTAGAAAGTGTGTCGTTCTCTGTGAAGCTCCTCAGTGGGCACCTCTTCTCAGGGAGTCCCCAGAACTGTTCGGTCTGAAAATACCTTTTGCCTTTTTCCACCCAGGTTGAATGTGTTCCAGTTGTTCGGAGTGTGTTACGCTGCATTAACATCTGGTCTTTCATATTAGTGCATAAAACTTTACAAGGATGTAAATATGCAGCAGTGTAGACAGCGTCAGTTGATTCAGGTCCAAACTTTGCCTTCAGGGGCTATCAATGCTATTGCACTTTGTAAAGATGCTAGCTAGCTGCAGATAACTGTAATTTAGCACATGTGAAATAGACTGAGATGGACAAAGAGGTGATTTATTCGCCGCAGTTGTTTGTGACGGTTGTAGTTTTTGCCATGAGAACTTGTCAACATTAAAATCCATCACAGGAGAATCTACACTGGTTTATGTGAGAGAGGAAACCACTGACTTTTAGGAGCTATTTTTAGCCATGCTAGTGGCCCAAATGTAGGTCAGGCAATCCACCGCTTCATGGTCCCCCAAGGATGAATCCCCTGGCTCTTTCTCTGGTGACACTGTGAGGTTGATGTTTTTGCTTTTTAGTGAAACGTCTAGTGAAAGAACTACTGGATGGATTGCCATTAAACTTGGCACAGATAGCCACAGTGCTCCGAAGATGAATCCCAAAAACTCTGGTGATTTCCTGATTTTGTTGTGGAATAAGGAGACTCAAAACACAGGATTGGACACTGCAGAAGAAAGCCAGAGAACTGGTGCATCATGGCAATTTATATTTTCTCTGATAAACAAGCAGCATCAGTCAGCACACACACACAAGATTTCCAAAACACATGTGTTTCCTGTTATTCCGACGACCAGTTCTGGGAACAATTGCTTCTCCTCACCTACCCAAATTTGGTCAGAGTCATGTTGGGTCGTTTGGCTGAATTCATGTCGGGTCATCTTCACTTTAATTTTGCCTCTAGCTCTACCAGCAGGTCAACATTTGATTCATCCAGTAGGTTAAAAGAACACTATTTAAGATTTCGGGGGATTTAGTGGCATCTAGCAAACCAGCAGAAACTTCTCCCGGATAGAATTCCTGCAGTATATACAATAAAGTTTAAGTTTTTGTTTACGTCTCTCCAAAAAAATGGACCAGGTGATTAAAACTGAACACTGCAAAAAGGAGTTTCACATCATTCACAAGATCTGAACTTTCTGGAGGTTTTTACCGGGAGCTGAATTCTTCACAGAGGTCTCTTCCACCTGGTACAAACTGGTAAAACACTACATAAAGCTGTTTCATGTTAGAAATCTGTTGCCCAGCTAACTGCAAAGAGGCAGCTATCTGCGATGGCCGACGCAAAAAACGCGAAAATGCTAACGTGGCTATCTGGAGCCAGTGCTTGATGTGTCTGTTCTTGGCTGTTGTAGAAACATGGCGGTGTAAGATGGTGATTGTTGAAACGTCTCATTCTCAGGTAGGAGAACACAACAATTCTTATTTTCAAGTGATTATACACTAAAGAAAACAGACAAATTATATTATGCTCAACTTCCGCATATATCCCCCTAAATCCTACAGAGTGGTCCTTTAATACATGTAAAACAGCATGTATAAATTGTTATTGTAAGTATGCTCCCAGCTGGCCACTTATATGTGATTAACTTTAGGTTGTGACATCATGTGATCAAAATTCAAAGTTAGGACAACGTCTAATGCCAACAATAATGTGACATAGAACACCGCCGACAGGTGACGTTGATATTTTATTGTTTTTAAAGCTTTGTTGTTGAGTAACCATAATTCAACGTCTACAAAACGTCATAATGCCCACACAACGTAAAGTTCTGACGTCACTAGACATTTATATTATTGACTACCTGATTTTCAATCCAACCAAACTTTAACATCTCTCTGACTTCATATTGATGTCCGGATGCCAATTGAATTGAATTTGACTTTTTATTGTCCCCAAAGGGAGATTCTTTCTCACAGCATAACAACAACAGCAACAACAGTGACGAGTACGACGTCCCGACA